AGTCGAATTTGGTGTCGTTGGATTTGTATTTCCGAGACGCTCAGTTCGACTGTAAGTTCGCTTAAATCGGAGTTTGGATGGTTACAATTTTAATTTTGAAAGTTTCCAACTTGATTTTGCATCGAGATTCGCGCCCGATCAAGATAATTTTTTGTCAACGTATCAAATATAATTGATTTGTTACAAGAGAAAAAATATTGATCACATATTAGATGTAAAAATATCGGAAGTGAATATATATTTACTCAATTTTTGCCATAATGTATATTTAATTTCATGGCATTTTTGTGTTCACAAAACATTATTTGTGATTTTATTGTCTTTTCTCATGTTGAGTTAGGTGTCTTCATGTTATACTTGTTGGTGAAAGTATTTAAAGAGGATTATTGGTAAGTTACAACTATTTTTCTTGTCATTATTTGAATCCCATGACATCCTCTATTATTCATGTAATAATAAAGAAAAAGATTGAGCTGTGTTTTTTCTTCATGCAATCATTTGATCCAAGAGTTAGAATTTGTATGATAATGTCGTGTTCTATTTTATTTTTTTATATAAATGTTTTGTATAGTTGTATTTTTTATTTTGTTATATAATAATGTTGTGTTTCCTTATGTTATTATTATTGTATTTTATTTTTCTTTATGTGTTATTTCAATGGGTCGTTGAATCTACTATTATTTTTTAAAATAATTCATATGTGGTGACTATTGATCATATTCATTACTGAATTTTGTGTACCTATTATAAAAATAACCTAATTTATTTTTCTTATGTGTTATCTCTCAATTGGCTAAAGAATATGTTGTCATTTTTTGGACTAATTATCCTAAATTTCTTTTGACTGTATGTATATTTCTTGATGAATTGTGCAGATATCACTTAATGAATTTAACATGTTATTGTTTGTGTTGTAATATAATTCATTTAAATCTTTAATGATTGTGGAGTTGGTGTTATTTATATTACTAATTTTCTTATTAAAGAACTTTATTGTTAATATATACTTTCATTGTAATTCTTTTCTATTTTATTAATCACTTTCCAACCCATACAATTTATTTATAGTCCATTTTAATTCTGCTTGTTTCTATTAAATTTTTACTAAACATAAATAATACCTTTAATTAATTAATTTTATGAAAGTTATTGAGATGTTTTTTAGGAAGTTATTTTATAACATTATTTTCATCTCAAATTTCAAGCCAAAAATGAATACGGTTGACTTGCAAGATAATACCTGTTCGAGTTATCTAATTGATCTCCATAGACATAAGCAACTTGCTTTAGAGCAACTTGCTTTAGAGTAGTGAAGCTTTGAGTAAGATTGTAGTTTATATAGATGCTTCTATAGTTCTCTTCTTTCCTGTTGTATTCTATTGTTGTAGTTCTAATGAGGATTAATGAGATATTTTTGTTGGTTTTGCCAAAAAAATTCTCGGCTAAATGTTAGTATCGTTTATTAATAATGATTACTTTTCAAAGTAATACTTCTTAGATTTATAATAATAATATTATTATTTTTCTTGAATTTTGTCAACGTGCACGTTGTGCATGTGCATTTAAACTAGATATCGACAAACATTTAGTTTAATGGAGACAGAAAATGAATTCGATCTTCTCCGAAAGACATGTCAAATCATCGAGAAGTATCTTCCACGTTTAGAGCGGCGTTCTCCAAAAGAGCGAGAGACCCCTTCTTTTCACTCAAGATGGGAAATGAGAGAAATTAGAACTTAACTGCTTAAATTAAGTGTAAATATTTTATTTAAGCCCATCATTAAAATAAAATAAATACTCGGCCTTTACACAAATTAATTCCATACAAAATTTAATTGAGATGTCACATATGACAAATAATAATTTAATACTTAAATATATCAAAAATTTAATTATCTTAATTTTAGATAGTTTATAATGTATAAAACTATATTTATATGTCTAAGTATATAGGCCCACTTATAGAAATTCCCAACAATCTCCCATTTAGGCCACATATATATACATATAATTATACATTATAAAATAA